ATATATATATATATATATATATATATATTATTGGCCTAAAATAGTTACATAGTAGCATGTAGCATGAGCCAAAAGTCTTAATCAATTATTTGTATTCACGTAAAATTTATCACAATATGGATCACTTTGTTAAATTCACTCATAAAATTTCGAGTTCAGGGTATGATTATCGCTTTATAGGATCTGTTCGAGTATTAATGAGAAATTGTATCTCGTAATCTTGAGAAATATATCTCCTAATCATAGATAAATTGAAGAAATTGCTAGGCAAAAACATATACATTTAGGTACAAAATCATGACAAATCAATCACACAGGCATTGGTCGGGCACGGAACTGAACTTTTTTACAAATCACAGCAGCAATTTGTGCAATTGCTTGGTTTTCAACATCTCGTGCAAGTACAGTCAGCGAATTTTGAAGTTTCACTTCTTTCCTTTCAATAAAGTGACAGCCAATATGAAGTAAAGCCTGGAAAAGAAAAATATTCAATTGTTTACCTTATTTTACTTAAGTTGTAAGTGTTTAAGTCATGAATGTAAATGTCCTATTACAGCTTTTTTTTTTTTTTCAACGATACAAAATTTGGTAGTGATAGTATAAAATTTAATACAACTTTGAATGTAACTTATGCTCTTAAACTTATTTATTTGGAAAAAAGGAAAACTTGCCGTTTAAGTTTTGGGATAGTATGCGGGTTGAGGTGTAAAAAGGTTTATTTCTCGTTATGATCTAGCGGGAAGTAAGTCATAAGAAATTCTGGATTTCTGATCTTATCAGTTCTTGATACCGTTCATTGTTTGCTGCCAGTATTGCAAACATGCTCCCTTGGAGAACAGTGAGCTCAGTTTTCCGCTCCCTCTCCTCCTCCTTCCCCTTTCTCCCTCCTCTTCTCTCTACCTCCTCTTTTCCTCTCTCCTCCCTTCTGCCCTCTCCTTTCTCCTCACCTCTTTCTCTTCTCCCCTTTTCTCTCCTCTCTCTCCTGTCCTCTTACTTTCACCTCTCTTTCTTCCCCCCTTCTTCCCTCCTGTCCTCTTAGTGCCGCCTCTCCCTTTTTTCTTCTCCCTCCCTCCTGTCCTCTTACTCTCGTCTCTCCCTCTCCTCCTCTCCATCTCTCTTCTTTCTCCTCTTTCTCCCTCTTCGTCTCTCACTCCCTCCTCCTTTCTTTCTTCTCTTCTCCTCTCTCCAAAGAGGAGGTAGAGAGAAGAGGGAGCATGTTTGCAATACTGGTAGCTAACAATGGACGGTATCAAAAACTGATAAGATCAAAAATCCAGGATTTTCTATGACTTACTTCCCGCTAGATCATAACGAGAAATAAACCTTTTTACACCATTAATGTTATAGTATAGAATTTTCCTGAACAAATTTGCGGAGATTGAAATAGCTGAATTCCACTAGTGGGTGAACCTGCGGAAGGATCATATCGTGCTTCAAAAAAAAATACCACAACAATGATTGATTTATTATTATAGCTACCATATATATACTTTTTAGAGGGACAAACGGTGTTTAACTGCATGAATTGAGCAATAACAGGTCTGTGATGCCCTTAGATGTCCAGGGCTGCACGCGCGCTACACTGGAGGAATCAGCGTGCTTTAACCATTACCGAAAGATTGGTAACCCCTTGAAAATCCTCCGTGATCGGGATCGGGAATTGCAATTATTTCCCTTGAACGAGGAATTCCTAGTAAGTGTGAGTCATCAGCTCACGTTGATTACGTCCCTCCCCTTTGTACACACCGCCCGTCGCTGCCCGGGACTGAGCCGTTTCGAGAAAAGCGGAGACTGCTGTTTCAATACCTTTCAAGGGTAGAGATTCTTTGGTGGAAACTGCTTTAATCGCAGTGGCTTGAACCGGGCAAAAGTCGTAACAAGGTTTCCGTAAAAAAAAATAATACAACAATGATTGATTTATTATTATTATAGCTACCATATTATATTATGATGCTATATTAACAACATATTGTATGTGTTACTAATAGATTGATGTTAATAATTTTAATATGGTAGTAGCTTAAATAATAATAATATGAATAAACGGTGATGTTCGTTGGTGTCTATACTTTATCCAAGTTATCGCCTAAGCGTCGATAACAATGTAGATAAAGCGATAGCTTAATTAATTTTACCATTTAATTAAGTAGACTTAATAAGCATTTATGCTAGATATGCTACCAACAAAAAAAGAAAAAAACATACACAAATTGTATATGTATACATATATATATTATAGTAATAACAAAATTTTTTTTAACTCTTAGCGGTGGATCACTTGGCTCATGGATCGATGAAGAACGCAGCTAGCTGCGATAAATAGTGCGAATTGCAGACGCATTGAGCACAAAGATTTCGAACGCACATTGCACCATTGGGTTGATTCCCGATGGTACGTCTGGTTGAGGGTCAATTAAAAGTAATAATTGTATTTGCATTGATTTATATTTATTATTATCAAATAATTTTCATTCAAACAAGATTATTTTTCTTTATGCAAATAATTTTTGTTTGTTTGTTAAAAGATTATTTGATGATGATGAATGAAAAAAGATGATTGAATCAATGATTAGATACAAAATGCATCGGGTGATTTGTAACAGAGAGTGAGAATGAAAAAATCTCAAAATGAATCCCCTGATAAGTAATAGATATGAGTGATATTTTTACCTTATTTAACTTATTGAATATATATATTAAAAAGTAATCTTTCATGAATAAATATTCATAAATAATAAAGAAAGATTACAATTATTCATTTATTATGCATTGATTTACTTTATTGTTTGTTTGTTTCGTTGTTAAATGTTTCAAATTAAATGCAAGTTGTTTGAAACATTAAAATAAACAAACGAATAAAGGAAAAAATTAGCATATATGTGAATGATAATTTCAATATGTTTTATATCATTTTTTTGACCTCAACTCAGTCGTGATTACCCGCTGAATTTAAGCATATAACTAAGCGGAGGAAAAGAAACTAGCGAGGATTTCCCTAGTAACGGCGAGTGAAAAGAAAAAAGCCCAACGCTGAATCCAATACATATTATATGGCTATATGGAAATGTAGCGTATAGGTATAACTATCCGTAAATATTTTTACACCCAAAGTCCCCTTAAACGGGGCTACAGTCCGTAGAAGGTGCTAGACCTGTACGGGTGAAAAAAGTTACGGTAGGTTATTCCTTAGAGTCGGGTTGTTGGGTTAATTAAAAGTAATAATTGTATTTGCATTGATTTATATTTATTATTATCAAATAATTTCCATTCAAGTGAGATCCTGTCCTACATTCCGTACCGGTAAAGTAAACATTCTGCCATTCTCAAGCAAACCATTTTTGGCGCAATATTTAAAATGAAGATATATAACTTCCAGCTTTTCTTTTCTAATGTTCAGTAGCAACGACGAAGAAGTAGATGGCTTATAATTTCCACTATGACTGAAATACATCAGAATTGCTATCGAGCCGAACGTCCTGCACTGAAAGATTTGATGACATTTATACAAGAATTGTTTTATTTTGCATTTATAGAATAATTGAATTGTATTGAATTGTAAGCATTGCTTTCCAAAATAGCACTACTCATCCAAAGCTTCAGGAAAGCGGGCATTGTTTAATGCAGCTACATCAATGAGGCTTCGCATTTCCATTCAATTGGTGAATTTTCTTTAATATAAGAGAAATCAAAAGATATGAAATGTAAACATCTTCAAATGGACAGAAAAAAGTAGTTCTTTCCATTAGAATCAAAATTGTACAACAAAACTCTGCTAATATCTAACTGTCTGTCATTCAAACATTTATCAAACCATTGTTGCTCATCATCTAGAAATAATGATTACAATAATATCATCCTTGATCTATTATTTTATAATCATTCAACTATCTTTCAATTAATCTTATAGAAATCATTCAAGCGAAAATCATTAATTTATAAATTAGAAAAATTAGTCTTCTTTTGCCGTGAAATAACCAAGAAATAATTACATAAAACCATTGCGGAAATATTTGGAAAGTTCAAATATTTACAATGTTAAGATTCTTGTGTTATTAATAAGTAGAATTCTAATATAAGATTTTGCAGAATGATATAAGTAAATAAGGATATGCATCAATATTCACTTTTTTCCCCGATCTCTTACTGACCGGTTGGAAAAGTTCGAATTGTTTCGTTTATTTAAAATTAATGGATAATTTCAGTTCGTATTGTAAAGCAAATCAAACGTTTTGTTTTTTCCATTTTTTTTTTTTTTTTTCAAAGAAAGGTCAAAAAATTTTTATCACTTGGAACATTTTAGGAGTCTGCGATCGGTAACCTATTGTATTTCATTTAAACTAACAAAAATAACCAATTTAGGCTGATTGATTTTAAAATCTGAGATGAATAGTTAAAACAAGTTGTATTCCTTGGTGAATTGAAAATATTTGACATGGATCGCCGGTCTTAACTAACTTCATTTTGCAAATTTTCCGGAATGTTGTTTTAATTTTTGCATAATACCTTTCAATAATCATGTCAGAGCACTGCTTGAAAACTTTTAGATTCCTAATTTTCTCACTTTTTTTTTGTCTCTTTTCTAAAATAAAGTTTTAATAATAATAACAAATAAATAAATAAATGTGATAATGATAAAAAAAACATGAATGAGTTAATCTTATCAATCAGTTGCTGAAATAATCCACACAATATGTTGGCTTTACAAGCAATTATCATCATCACTACATACTCAGTTATACTAGTCATTGTTTATTCCTTAATTTATACCAATTAATCATGATAAATTTGATTAGTTGAAGAGGAATAAATTCAGTAGATTTGTGACAAAATATCTCTATTTGTATTTATATGTGCAATTAAACGGTTCATTATGTTTCCGCTTTCATGTTGTTCAGTATTTCAGAAAATCTTTGGCGAATTCATTAATATCAAAAACTTTTTTTGACATCAAATTGACAGGTTATGAAAACGTTAAATTATACATACATATTGCTTTTTCACTACTCCATATTCTTTTTCTTTTCTCCCTGATCCCGCATTTCAGCTGTATCCACCTCTGGAAACCATTTAATTTCATCATGCACTGGTTGTGTTGTCTGTTTGAAGCGATCTTCCAGGTTACCTTAATAATTATTCATTCATTATAAAATGACTTTTTTCGAAAGTATAAATGTAATTTAGAAAATATAAAATGAACTAAAATGAATTAATTTAGTTTTTGTTTTATTCAAGCTGTCCAATCATATTTTTTAATTTGTGTGATCATTGGATCTATATTCATTATTATACTCATTTTTGATAATGATTTTAATAATTGTTATACAGAGATAGTTTATCTTTGTTAAAGTATCGTTGGAAATGCGTATTATTGAAATGATCATGCAAAACAAATTCTGAAATTAACTATTGGCGTCACTTAGACTATTTTGGATAAAGTAAAATTTGCAAACTAATTTTGCTGTATAAAACATAAGAGGATTCAAAATAGCATCATTAAAAGTGTGATATTTCTGACATTTGTACATGAAGTTAACATTGAATTTTAAAATACTTAACAGTTTTTATTTCATGTTTCTTTTCATAAGAAGTTCCATAAAAAATAATATTCGATAAAGGTAAAAAGTATACCAAATACTAAAAATCATTTTGACATTTGAACGATAAATGAAGGATAAGTGAGAAAAAATCTGAGAAAGACGTAAATTCTGAAAATTAGTCTTGTTTTGAAATACATGTTTTGAAACATAAATACTATGGCGAAGAAATAATGAAGCGAATGATCCATACAGAAAAAAAGACTAAATCTAATTTTATATCCTGATTTCTATTGAATACTTAAGGTTTCATGGTCAATGGTCGCAAAAACTTTAACTGGGATGGAAATAGATGGGATAATTAAAAAGCGAACTATTTTTAATTAAAACAAAACTGTGACTAGCAAAATGTAGGATTAGATTATAGATTATCATTTTCCATTGACAGTAGTTTTTTGTTTAGAACTTGAGTTAAAGTGTTTTTTTTTTCTTTCTGCTATGCGAAGTCTAATCAAGTGATCTGTTAATTAATGACTAATCGATTAGTGCTTTTAGGCAATGCTTTTCGTTTCTTATCATCTTATTTTTATATCAAATATTCTTTTCAGTGTAAATAAATGAAATTAAATTATTCATAAATGAAATAACTTTAACAAAATATTCCATGGCTTCCTATAAAAAAAGAAAGAACTAACCGTTCCATGTTGGCATTGGCATAATTTCGTTTTTCACATTTAATAGGTTATCTCTTGCCTCGCAATGCTTCTGAAATTTCTTTAGTTTCCGATGCTTTAATTATCACAAAATAAATTACAAGGTTTTATTGTAATGCTATCTTGTATTGCTGTCTTACCGCAGTTTCCATTGGTGTGATGATTTTACGCCAATGCAATCGAAGATTTTTCCACATAAATAAAAGAATTGCAACCCAATGGATACGAGTATTAGCATCCAATAAATAAATGTCGTAGATGATGCATTTATATGTGCAATTAAACGGTTCATTATGTTTCCGCTTTCATGTTGTTCAGTATTTCAGAAAATCTTTGGCGAATTCATTAATATCAAAAACTTTTTTGACATCAAATTGACAGGTTATGAAAACGTTAAATTATACATACATATTGCTTTTTCACTACTCCATATTCTTTTTCTTTTCTCCCTGATCCCGCATTTCAGCTGTATCCACCTCTGGAAACCATTTAATTTCATCATGCACTGGTTGTGTTGTCTGTTTGAAGCGATCTTCCAGGTTACCTTAAGACCTTTTTTGATAGTGCATTTGTTTTAATCATTATTCTGTTTATGAATTACTTTTGGAAATCGATTACACGAAATAATGGGCTGAATTAACAAAAGGCAGCAAAATATATTATTAATCATATGTTTTATCACTACTGATTTTTCATATTACCATAACGGTGAAATTTTTAATCGGTCGTTTACACGAGACCTTTGCTTATATTTAAAATTTTGCCTATATTTAAAAAAATATATTCGGTTATTTGAATTCGTATTTTTACGTTTACTGTTCAAAAGTTTCTTTTATTGAAATATCAGAATGACCTTCGCTGTTTTTGTACCTTTCATATTTTTGGGTATAAGATGATGCGGTTTCAATAACTAAGCATTATTATAATTTATAAGTTACTTTCGTTTATTCAGTGGGGGAATTCGAACAAATGCTAATCTTCACCGCTTCTTTCAAAACATGTAAATTTTGTCAAAACATTATTTACATATAACGATTGAATAAGGTAAGATTATTGTACTGTTTTTAATTGATTGCTCCCATTGCGGATGATCGCCATTAATACTAACAGTGGTTTAAAAATGATGGGTAATATTGAGAGGACCTAAATAATGAAACACATCATGGTCTATTATTACGCTTCCCATAGTAATGATAAAAAAAAGTGTTGCTATTTTATGTCCATTATTGAGGAATACAGCTCGGATTTTAGCATTTTGATGATAAGATGGCCATGTCATGCAATATGGAAGCACCGTAGAATATATATCTGAACACGTGAAGTATTTGTGCTAGCAATCTCAAGCTATCTTTTAAATTGCATCTGTTAATCTAGACGATGATAGGTTTTCATGCTACGCTTTGGTGACAAGAATCGTGGGAGCATGCATCACATCTCTTGATATTGACCTAATTAACTTGTAATGACCATTAATCCATGACACTGTTAGATTGTAGATGCTAACAAATACATTGAAAATGACGAATGTTGCATACACATCAAATTTAAAAGTTTTTGGTAATATTTTGAATTGATTGTCTGACGTAAGCCATTCATTTTTTGCATTCTTGCATGTCAATTATTGACATCGAATCATCGACTGCAGAAAAATGGATACAAAGATCGTTAATATTTTTATTTATCCTGCTGCAGCAATTATAACTTGATCAAAATATTTCGGCTTAATTTTTGATCAATTCAAAGACCTTTATATATTTTAGAAAAAAGTTTCTACAATCTGATTTATTGCTGGGAAAATTGGCTACAACTTAAAAAAAAAAAAGAAGAAGAGCAACGAAAATATGAAAATTTATAGGCAACATGACATGTTATGTTGTTTATATCAATTTTCTACTTTGCACCGTTGCTCTTCTTCTTTTTTTTTTTTTGTTTGTTAGAAAATTTTCAGCAATTAAATCATATTGTAAGAAAGTTTTTTTCCTTAAAATATTAGAAGATCTTTGATTAATGATTGATCAAAAATTGCGCCATCATATTTTTGCAACTGTTAGAATTAATGGCATCAAGGATAAAGGGAGCAATATTAAATCTTTGTACAATTTTTCTGCAGGTCGATGATCTTGAAGCAATAAATAAATGTTAAGAATGCTTAAAATGCAATCCACTGATGTCAATTTACAATTCATCGTAAACTTTTAATTTGATTTGTATGCAACATTATCATTTTCATTGTATTTGTTAGCATCTACAATCTAACAGTGTCATGGATTAATGGTCATTACAAGTTAATTAGGTCAATATCAAGAGATGTGATGCATGCTCCCACGATTCTTGTCACCAAAGCGTAGCATGAAAACCTATCATCGTCTAGATTAACAGATGCAATTTAAAAGATAGCTTGAGATTGCTAGCACAAATACTTCACGTGTTCAGATATATATTCTACGGTGCTTCCATATTGCATGACATGGCCATCTTATCATCAAAATGCTAAAATCCGAGCTGTATTCCTCAATAATGGACATAAAATAGCAACACTTTTTTATCATTACTATGGGAAGCGTAATAATAGACCATGATGTGTTTCATTATTTAGGTCCTCTCAATATTACCCATCATTTTTAAACCACTGTTAGTATTAATGGCGATCATCCGCAATGGGAGCAATCAATTAAAAACAGTACAATAATCTTACCTTATTCAATCGTTATATGTAAATAATGTTTTGACAAAATTTACATGTTTTGAAAGAAGCGGTGAAGATTAGCATTTGTTCGAATTCCCCACTGAATAAACGAAAGTAACTTATAAATTATAATAATGCTTAGTTATTGAAACCGCATCATCTTATACCCAAAAATATGAAAGGTACAAAAACAGCGAAGGTCATTCTGATATTTCAATAAAAGAAACTTTTGAACAGTAAACGTAAAAATACGAATTCAAATAACCGAATATATTTTTTTAAATATAGGCAAAATTTTAAATATAAGCAAAGGTCTCGTGTAAACGACCGATTAAAAATTTCACCGTTATGGTAATATGAAAAATCAGTAGTGATAAAACATATGATTAATAATATATTTTGCTGCCTTTTGTTAATTCAGCCCATTATTTCGTGTAATCGATTTCCAAAAGTAATTCATAAACAGAATAATGATTAAAACAAATGCACTATCAAAAAAGGTCTTAAGGTAACCTGGAAGATCGCTTCAAACAGACAACACAACCAGTGCATGATGAAATTAAATGGTTTCCAGAGGTGGATACAGCTGAAATGCGGGATCAGGGAGAAAAGAAAAAGAATATGGAGTAGTGAAAAAGCAATATGTATGTATAATTTAACGTTTTCATAACCTGTCAATTTGATGTCAAAAAAAGTTTTTGATATTAATGAATTCGCCAAAGATTTTCTGAAATACTGAACAACATGAAAGCGGAAACATAATGAACCGTTTAATTGCACATATAAATGCATCATCTACGACATTTATTTATTGGATGCTAATACTCGTATCCATTGGGTTGCAATTCTTTTATTTATGTGGAAAAATCTTCGATTGCATTGGCGTAAAATCATCACACCAATGGAAACTGCGGTAAGACAGCAATACAAGATAGCATTACAATAAAACCTTGTAATTTATTTTGTGATAATTAAAGCATCGGAAACTAAAGAAATTTCAGAAGCATTGCGAGGCAAGAGATAACCTATTAAATGTGAAAAACGAAATTATGCCAATGCCAACATGGAACGGTTAGTTCTTTCTTTTTTTATAGGAAGCCATGGAATATTTTGTTAAAGTTATTTCATTTATGAATAATTTAATTTCATTTATTTACACTGAAAAGAATATTTGATATAAAAATAAGATGATAAGAAACGAAAAGCATTGCCTAAAAGCACTAATCGATTAGTCATTAATTAACAGATCACTTGATTAGACTTCGCATAGCAGAAAGAAAAAAAAAACACTTTAACTCAAGTTCTAAACAAAAAACTACTGTCAATGGAAAATGATAATCTATAATCTAATCCTACATTTTGCTAGTCACAGTTTTGTTTTAATTAAAAATAGTTCGCTTTTTAATTATCCCATCTATTTCCATCCCAGTTAAAGTTTTTGCGACCATTGACCATGAAACCTTAAGTATTCAATAGAAATCAGGATATAAAATTAGATTTAGTCTTTTTTCTGTATGGATCATTCGCTTCATTATTTCTTCGCCATAGTATTTATGTTTCAAAACATGTATTTCAAAACAAGACTAATTTTCAGAATTTACGTCTTTCTCAGATTTTTTCTCACTTATCCTTCATTTATCGTTCAAATGTCAAAATGATTTTTAGTATTTGGTATACTTTTTACCTTTATCGAATATTATTTTTTATGGAACTTCTTATGAAAAGAAACATGAAATAAAAACTGTTAAGTATTTTAAAATTCAATGTTAACTTCATGTACAAATGTCAGAAATATCACACTTTTAATGATGCTATTTTGAATCCTCTTATGTTTTATACAGCAAAATTAGTTTGCAAATTTTACTTTATCCAAAATAGTCTAAGTGACGCCAATAGTTAATTTCAGAATTTGTTTTGCATGATCATTTCAATAATACGCATTTCCAACGATACTTTAACAAAGATAAACTATCTCTGTATAACAATTATTAAAATCATTATCAAAAATGAGTATAATAATGAATATAGATCCAATGATCACACAAATTAAAAAATATGATTGGACAGCTTGAATAAAACAAAAACTAAATTAATTCATTTTAGTTCATTTTATATTTTCTAAATTACATTTATACTTTCGAAAAAAGTCATTTTATAATGAATGAATAATTATTAAGGTAACCTGGAAGATCGCTTCAAACAGACAACACAACCAGTGCATGATGAAATTAAATGGTTTCCAGAGGTGGATACAGCTGAAATGCGGGATCAGGGAGAAAAGAAAAAGAATATGGAGTAGTGAAAAAGCAATATGTATGTATAATTTAACGTTTTCATAACCTGTCAATTTGATGTCAAAAAAGTTTTTGATATTAATGAATTCGCCAAAGATTTTCTGAAATACTGAACAACATGAAAGCGGAAACATAATGAACCGTTTAATTGCACATATAAATACAAATAGAGATATTTTGTCACAAATCTACTGAATTTATTCCTCTTCAACTAATCAAATTTATCATGATTAATTGGTATAAATTAAGGAATAAACAATGACTAGTATAACTGAGTATGTAGTGATGATGATAATTGCTTGTAAAGCCAACATATTGTGTGGATTATTTCAGCAACTGATTGATAAGATTAACTCATTCATGTTTTTTTTATCATTATCACATTTATTTATTTATTTGTTATTATTATTAAAACTTTATTTTAGAAAAGAGACAAAAAAAAAGTGAGAAAATTAGGAATCTAAAAGTTTTCAAGCAGTGCTCTGACATGATTATTGAAAGGTATTATGCAAAAATTAAAACAACATTCCGGAAAATTTGCAAAATGAAGTTAGTTAAGACCGGCGATCCATGTCAAATATTTTCAATTCACCAAGGAATACAACTTGTTTTAACTATTCATCTCAGATTTTAAAATCAATCAGCCTAAATTGGTTATTTTTGTTAGTTTAAATGAAATACAATAGGTTACCGATCGCAGACTCCTAAAATGTTCCAAGTGATAAAAATTTTTTGACCTTTCTTTGAAAAAAAAAAAAAAAAAATGGAAAAAACAAAACGTTTGATTTGCTTTACAATACGAACTGAAATTATCCATTAATTTTAAATAAACGAAACAATTCGAACTTTTCCAACCGGTCAGTAAGAGATCGGGGAAAAAAGTGAATATTGATGCATATCCTTATTTACTTATATCATTCTGCAAAATCTTATATTAGAATTCTACTTATTAATAACACAAGAATCTTAACATTGTAAATATTTGAACTTTCCAAATATTTCCGCAATGGTTTTATGTAATTATTTCTTGGTTATTTCACGGCAAAAGAAGACTAATTTTTCTAATTTATAAATTAATGATTTTCGCTTGAATGATTTCTATAAGATTAATTGAAAGATAGTTGAATGATTATAAAATAATAGATCAAGGATGATATTATTGTAATCATTATTTCTAGATGATGAGCAACAATGGTTTGATAAATGTTTGAATGACAGACAGTTAGATATTAGCAGAGTTTTGTTGTACAATTTTGATTCTAATGGAAAGAACTACTTTTTTCTGTCCATTTGAAGATGTTTACATTTCATATCTTTTGATTTCTCTTATATTAAAGAAAATTCACCAATTGAATGGAAATGCGAAGCCTCATTGATGTAGCTGCATTAAACAATGCCCGCTTTCCTGAAGCTTTGGATGAGTAGTGCTATTTTGGAAAGCAATGCTTACAATTCAATACAATTCAATTATTCTATAAATGCAAAATAAAACAATTCTTGTATAAATGTCATCAAATCTTTCAGTGCAGGACGTTCGGCTCGATAGCAATTCTGATGTATTTCAGTCATAGTGGAAATTATAAGCCATCTACTTCTTCGTCGTTGCTACTGAACATTAGAAAAGAAAAGCTGGAAGTTATATATCTTCATTTTAAATATTGCGCCAAAAATGGTTTGCTTGAGAATGGCAGAATGTTTACTTTACCGGTACGGAATGTAGGAAAGGAATTTTCTTATCATACGTGAAAAACGAGAATTACATCAATGCGTTCTGAATGAAGTGCATTAGACGAAGTAGTGAATGGTAGTAGTGTACGGAATTTGAATGGTTGATAATCTGCGTTTAAATCATCGCTTACTTGATTAAGAAAAAAAATTTCATGAAGTATCTGCTTGGTAATATTCATAAACAACTTCTTTTGTATTTAGTTTTAACCCGATTGATCAAATTAAACGATGATAGCAAAAAAAAGATTTGCTTTTGCCTTCATCGCTATTTTGTTGTTCAACATGATAATGGTAACAATTTTATTCGAATTTCAAAATTTTTCTTCTAAATTTTATGAGCTAGAATAATCTTTTTTGTATGTCAAAAAAAAGACTGAAATTGATCAGGTTAGAAGTATTGTCCGTTTAAAATGATAAATTTTTACTGATTTGTCAGTATTCATCCAATTGCTAGATTGATTTTTCCCTCCATCTAGAAGTTACTGCATCATTTTTCTTTCATAATCAAGCCAAAAAAAAATGTCCAACAAAACACACATTTGATAGAATAAACATCACTGATGCTAAGGAAATTTCATTGATTCTAATTTATTTCCCATCTTCCGATATTTTCACCGACTTCATCATATTTAACGGCATATTATTATAGCCTTCATTCCAACAATCATCACCAACAACAGCGTCCTCTGCAACATCAAAATCAACAACAACTGCAACAACTTCAACAGTTTCCTCTACGAAATCAACATCAACAACAACTGCAACAACTTCAACAGTGTCCTCTACGAAATCAAAATCAACCACAACTGCAACAACTTCAACAGTGTCCTCTACGACATCAAAATCAACAACAACTGCAACAACTTCAACAGTTTCCTCTACGAAATCAACATCAACAACAACTGCAACAACTTCAACAGTGTCCTCTACGAAATCAAAATCAACCACAACTGCAACAACTTCAACAGTGTCCTCTACGACATCAAAATCAACAACAACTGCAACAACTTCAACAGTTTCCTCTACGAAATCAACATCAACAACAACTGCAACAACTTCAACAGTGTCCTCTACGAAATCAAAATCAACAACAACTGCAACAACTTCAACAGTGTCCTCTACGAAATCAAAATCAACCACAACTGCAACAACTTCAACAGTGTCCTCTACGAAATCAAAATCAACAACAACTGCAACAACTTCAACAGTTTCCTCTACGAAATCAACATCAACAACAACTGTAACAACTTCAACAGTTTCCTCTACGAAATCAAAATCAACAACAACTGCAACAACTTCAACAGTGTCCTCTACGACATCAAAATCAACAACAACTGCAACAACTTCAACAGTGTCCTCTACGAAATCAAAATCAACAACAACTGCAACAACTTCAACAGTGTCCTCTACGAAATCAAAATCAACAACAACTGCAACAACTTCAACAATATCCTCTACGACATCAAAATCAACAACAACTGCAACAACTTCAACAGTGTCCTCTACGAAATCAAAATCAACAACAACTGCAACAACTTCAACAGTGTCCTCTACGAAATCAAAATCAACAACAACTGCAACAACTTCAACAGTGTCCTCTACGAAATCAAAATCAACAACAACTGCAACAACTTCAACAGTGTCCTCTACGACATCAAAATTAACGACATCTGTAACAACTTCAACAGTATCATCTACGACATCAAAATCAACGACATCTGTAACAACTTCAACAATGTCCTCTACGACATCAAAATCAACAACATCTGTAACAACTTCAACAGTATCATCTACGACATCAAAATCAACAACATCTGTAACAACTTCAACAATGTCCTCTACGACATCAAAATCAACAACATCTGTAACAACTTCAACAGTGTCCTCTACGACATCGAAATCAACAACATCTGTAACAACTTCAACAGTGTCCTCTACGACATCAAAATCAACAACATCTGTAACAACTTCAACAGTGTCCTCTACGACATCAAAATCAACAACATCTGTAACAACTTCAACAGTATCATCTACGACATCAAAATCAACAACATCTGTGACAACTTCAACAGTGTCCTCTACGACATCAAAATCAACAACATCTGTAACAACTTCAACAGTGTCCTCTACGACATCAAAATCAACAACATCTGTAACAACTTCAACAGTATCATCTACGACATCAAAATCAACAACATCTGTAACGACTTCAACAGTGTCCTCTACGACATCAAAATCAACAACATCTGTAACAACTTCAACAGCGTCCTCTACGACATCAAAATCAACAACATCTGTAACAACTTCAACAGTATCATCTACGACATCAAAATCAACAACATCTGTAACAACTTCAACAGTGTCCTCTACGACATCAAAATCAACAACATCTGTAACAACTTCAACAGTGTCCTCTACGACATCAAAATCAACAACATCTGTAACAACTTCAACAGTGTCCTCTACGACATCAAAATCAACAACATCTGTAACAACTTCAACAGTGTCCTCTACGACATCAAAATCAACAACATCTGTAACAACTTCAACAGTGTCCTCTACGACATCGAAATCAACAACATCTGTAACAACTTCAACAGTATCATCTACGACATCAAAATCAACAACATCTGTAACGACTTCAACAGTGTCCTCTACGACATCAAAATCAACAACATCTGTAACAACTTCAACAGCGTCCTCTACGACATCAAAATCAACAACATCTGTAACAACTTCAACAGTATCATCTACGACATCAAAATCAACAACATCTGTAACAACTTCAACAGTGTCCTCTACGACATCAAAATCAACAACATCTGTAACAACTTCAACAGTGTCCTCTACGACATCAAAATCAACAACATCTGTAACAACTTCAACAGTGTCCTCTACGACATCAAAATCAACAACATCTGTAACAACTTCAACAGTGTCCTCTACGACATCAAAATCAACAACATCTGTAACAACTTCAACAGTGTCCTCTACGACATCAAAATCAACAACATCTGTAACAACTTCAACAGTGTCCTCTACGACATCAAAATCAACGACATCTGTAACAACTTCAACAGTATCTTCTACGACATCAAAATCAACAACATCTGTAACAACTTCAACAATATCATCTACGACATCAAAATCAACAACATCTGTAACAACTTCAACAGTGTCCTCTACGACATCAAAATCAACAACATCTATAACAACTTCAACAGTGTCCTCTACGACATCAAAATCAACAACGTCTGTAACAACTTCAACAGTGTCCTCTACGACATCAAAATCAACAACATCTATAACAACTTCAACAGTGTCCTCTACGACATCAAAATCAACAACATCTGTAACAACTTCAACAATGTCTTCTACGACATCAAAATCAACAGCATCTGTAACAACTTCAACAATGTCCTCTACGACATCAAAATCAACAACGTCTGTAACAACTTCAACAGTGTCCTCTACGACAGCAACAAGTTCAACAGCATCCTCTACGAAATCAAAATCAACAACTCTAGTAGCTTCAAAAGGTGCAACTCTTGTTTCTACAGCACCACAAACGATGCTTACAGAACCTCCTTTAAGAGATGTATTAATTTCAACGATCTTGCCTTCTTTAACGGTAGCTCCAGTTCCTAAATTAGAAGCACAAAATTGGTGGTATTGGTGGTATTGGTGGTGTTGGTGGTATCCATCAAGTACTGTTTGCTTTTGGGGTGTGTGGAGTTCGAGTTACATGTATCCTTGGTATATGTAGTTTTTAGAATCCACTTAATTTTGTTCTCATAAGAGAAATGTTGAAGAGCAATGCATCAGTTGAGTGATGTTTCAGAAAGCTATTCATGGCCTCTTAGTATCACTTTAATGATTGTTATGAATTTGATCAATAAAAGTCAGTTATCAGAATTGAAAAAAGTAAGGAACATGCTTCCATTGATGTTCCTGTTAATTAATATTTGTATTCTAATTGAAGGTCTTCAGTTTTTGATTTCATGCATCGTTTTATTTGGATATTTTTAACTCCACGGAATTTTATGAAAATGATTTTGATCAATAAATTCTGATGCAGTGATGGCAGTAAATATCTTATTTTTCAAAATTCCAATATTTTATTTTCAAAGTTGAAGACTTTGACACAAATATTCTATGCAATCTGAGTACTTTGAACTTCTGCTATTTCACATGGAACCCAGATCATTACTGATGGTAATATCGCATTATATATAATTTAGGTAGTTTCAGTGATGGTAATCTTGTATAGCAAATTTTGGATAACAGCCGAATAATGAAAAATATTCGTCGTGGAAGCAAATTTTTTTCGTGGAAGATTTGATAGTTTAATTATTAATTTTAGGAGAGATTTTTGATCGCAGGGAGATTTGTTGTATGTAAGTGTAAATACGTAGGATAACAGAGAAATACAGCAGTTCTTTTATTAGTAGAAGTAATAGACAAAACGTTGATAGAGAACAATTGAAATTGGAATCGTCGGTCCTTGGCAATAAATTACACATATACTAAGTCTTTTAACAAGGGTGATCCTTATATAGCAATTATATCTTACATTATATGTGTTAATATGTGGGAATGGTTTATAATTGTCTACACATGATAACGAGTAACTTTAACAGTAGGTTACAATGGATATTACAAAGGAAAGTACAATGGGTTGTCTAGACATTATGATGGCTGGTTACTATTATGTTGCAATAGACATTACATGATGGTTGCTTATAGTGTGTGAATTGATATAAGATCAAAAGTCAATTAAACCATTACGATGAATTGTAAAAGACATCAATGGATTGCTATATTAAGCATTATTAACATTTATTTTATATTTCACGATATTAACATCCGCGACAGCATTATATATAATTTAGGTAATTTTGTTCTGAACTCTCCCTTCTTGTTTAAGTAATTTGATGCTTCACAGGCAAAACTTATTGTAAAAATTTATTATTTTTGGATGATTGGTGGTAACCTTATCCAACAATTATGGTCAATAGACAAATATTGATAATTTTAAGATGGTTTCAAAGTTGATATGGGTTGAGTCGGTAGTTTAGAATTGTTAAAAAGTCAAAGTGATGATTGTCTATAAAACAAGCCTGGTAATGAATTCTAATTCCTTATATATCAGCATATTATAATGTAATCCTGTCGGATACAAAATACCTAATGTGAGTGAAAAAAAGATCTGTGTAAAGGAAAATCTGATAACAGCATAACGACTGAAATGCAACTGGTTATCAATCAGATAGAAATATTGGTTTTCGGAAGTTGAACCATTAAACATAAGCATGGCAATCAAAATAAGGATAAGAAATGACTCATCACATTAGATACTGTAACATTTATAAAATTACAATTTATGCAATGTATTACTTGAATAAAAAATGTTTGCAACGCCAGGTTGGGTTCTTAGTTCGTATTATAAATAGAATAAGCGATGACTACTTTTTTTTATTTCCTTAGCTTCAGGATATTTCGGTATATGAAATGTGTAACTTAATTTTAATTAAATTAGAGGTTAAATAATTGTGTGTTGTCGATCATACAAAAAAATAATGTATGTTGTCGATCATACAGTTTTATTGTATTTTGCAGAAAACATTTACTGTACGGCGCTTCATTTGGTTCCGTAGCTTTCTTTCCTTCGAAGAGAACAACGTTTTGAGGAGTATTCTGTCCATTTTAACAGTATAATAATAGTGTGAATGTGTTCAACTGTTCAGTACCAACTACTCTTCGTAAAATTTGATTTGACGTTCTCAGAATGGTTTTATGTTAGAATGATACATATATACTATACATTATAAAAACCTTTCAATTTTTATTTTATCGAGCAAATGCTTAAATTTGAATAATTTTCAAGGTAAACGTTCAGCTTCACTTATCAATATCACAATTTCAGCATATTTCACTATTTTACTTCATTTTTAGTGCTTTTTTTTAACAATTCTTTTCCAACAGTTTACTACGTAAAAAGCGATTCCAAATAGTGTCAATATGGCAATATATGTAATCGCAGACCAAAACAATTCCGAAGCTGTACAATTTGAAAAATTTATATAAGAAAAGTGATAGTTACTGGACCTATTATGAATTTTAACCCTCGCTCTTGAAGTAATATGCTATATTGAATTTACAGATAATAAAGGAAGTATTTACCTGTTCCACTGTCCCGTCGAAAAACGTAGACACGATAGAGAAATACAACGACAGTTAGTATAACCAATGTTATCTGCAATTTTCTTCTTATGCTGGAGCATCATTTTTTAAAACCAATCTACGAAATGGTCTTTTAATCATTATAAACAATAGTTTTGAAAGAAATAGGAAAAGAAATAGAAAATTGAAACTGATTTCCATCCCAATTCTTTTCAAATCATTTTATTCAGATTTTTGAAGAAAATAGCCATTTTTATCATCAACTAACAATCATCCAAATTAGTAGTAAGATGAATAGTTTTCTCTCCGTTGTTATGGCAAACACGTTCACGATTGAAACAATCAGAAGTATAATAATAAGTAGAAAATTTGGAACTGAATCTAACGTGAATCCATAATCTATCAGACCACGTATACAAATTACTATCGTTGAAACTAAGAACAGCACCAATATCACATATATCCATATCTGAAATAATGCATACTTTGAAAGCGCTTCAGATTTTGTCATATTTTACATTTGTTTGTTATTATTAAATATCATGAAATCCTTCTTTACATCACAGACACATTATTAAAACTATATATCTCACAGAGCTGTATTCAGGATATAAATTTTGAAAAATTTACGGTGATCGGTACGGAAAGCAATTTGTTGGTTTTTTTATCCTTTTTCACATCACCGGTATTATGACTTCTTAACATTTTCTTATTATAAAATTTCTTCTTAAAATTTTTTGTTTCTGTTTTTTAAAAAGTTTCGTAATTCAGCTTTATCGTTTAAAATTTTGCGGAGAAAGGCTTTTTCATCACAGTGATCACTGATGCAAAACGATCGCCCGCAAATAGTGTGATAAGGCAACAATTTTTCTCAATGACCAATAGGGTAATAATGAAATTAGTTAAATTAGTTCAATTTATACATTTCTTACCATTCATTTGTTATAAACAAATTGTGTTTATCGGATTTATTTGCCTTTTTTTTTTACTGTAATTCATTAATTGCTATAAAATATGCAAATTTTCAGTATATATTAATAAGAATGTTGGAATATTGTGATTTACTTTATTTGCCTATATTAACAACTGGTTAATTGGTATGGCATCCTCTTTCATTGGTAAATGCTTTCTTTTTTTCGCCACTTGACAATTTTTATCAATCTATCGGTGAAAATTTCTAACGTTATTCATTTTTTTATATGTCTGTTCATTTTACAGATAAACTGTGGATTGTAATTACTGCCATTTGTTTATTAGATACAATTGAACCAGCTGATGGCCAATTTCCATTTATGAAATCGAAAAAGCGACGTTATAAATTGATCCCGTTTTATGATGGTGATATAAAAATTAGCGATCCCAGCAAACCTGTAAGATTTTTTAAAAGATCTTGAAAAACAAGGTTTAGTTCGATTTTGTCGTATTTATTAATAGAAAGGACTGAAGTAAAAGATTACGTCCATTGCTTAATCATATCCTTTGTATTAAGTTTTGGCTTTTTGAGTTATTCCATAATCGAACAAATATTCAATTTGACTGGACAAACTAAATCAAGATATCTATTCACCTGACGATTAACGAAATCTGTTTCAGTCTAAAAATCTTAACTAAGTCTCAACTATTTTATTTGTTTTATTGCTCTAACGCAAATTGCAAATCATACAGATATAATAGAAAAATTGTATAAGTTTTTCTGGGTTCAATAACTAATTGGTTTGGAATGGAGTTCATTATCTCAGCTAATAAATCCATATGTTAAAAAAGCTTTCAACAAAAAATATTATTTCGAGTTTAATGAAATCTTGTTAAAATAATAATAAAATGATAATTCATTTATTGAGCAAAAATAACAGCTCACTTAAAAACAATAATTTAAAAGTTATTGCAGTAATTGATTAATAATGCACTTCATTTATCTAATGAAAAATCGAAATAATTTTATAATATGTCAAAGTAATTTTATTTGAATATTCCTTAGACAAATATAAAACTCTTAATTTTATGCTTCATTTGTCCAACTTTCATCCTAGCTCATCTACATTGTCTAGGAAGCTACAATCTGTTGACAAAAAATATGTGCATTGCTTAATTTGCTCTCAATTTTATGTTAAGATCTTTTAGTACGACAATCAAATTTATATTCGACGGTCAAAAATAACTTTCGTTGTTGAAAAGGAAAAATTAAATTGATGAGAAACTTAAATGATTTAGCTTAAAGGGTTTAAATAAATGAGTGAGCAGTCGATATGTAGCTTGTTGATACCAAAAACTGAATGAAACAAAAGATTTCTTACTTAGTGGGCATTGGCTTATAACAAATGAATGATTACAGTGGGCAAAGAGAGTATCAAATGATCTTAACTCCTTATACGGTAAAAGGTGAATTTTAGCATTATGTTAGTTACTCAGAGAAATGACTGCTGGATTATAAAACATTTACAATATTTTGAAATTACAAATACATTTGGTTTAGAATAAAAGAGTAACTTTTAATATATTATACAATGCATACAATCTTTGTTAACAATGGATCTTTGTTAACAATGCAAAAAAAATTAACAAATTCTAGGCAATGTAAAAAATTTTAAACTTAGTTACAATTGGAAGATGACTGTTGGATAAATGAATGCTTATATGAAATGCAATTTTATTAAGATATATTATTGTAATTCGGCTTTTTCCAACATATGCAAGCGGAATAAAGATATTTCTTTCAAGTTTTGTTTTTTGTTTTTCATGTCACATTCTTCTCTTTTTTTATGTTCATTTGCTTTTATGAAATTTCCTTCAAGGCACTGATTCAAGATCTTTCACTACTAAGCTATGTGTTGAATAATACGGCAGACACGGTGTTTGGTTCCAAGGATATAGCTCGTGATTCATTGACATTTTTTGCCGACTTAGATCAAATTATGATGTTAGCATGTTTTTGTTTAAAGGGAAAGTAAGCATGAATAGATAATTTCGTTTTGCATTTTCGAAAAACTGAAGATAATCTCTAAAATAATAATCAGCGGTTTAAAAAATTTTTAAAAAGTTGGACAAATTTTTTGCAGGCAATGGTTATTTCTATTTCTGATATGTTCAAGCATTTTTCACATGGCTGCGTGCGTTTGCATCGGTTGCTGCGCATGCTATGTTTTCAAAAATGATATTCGAAATACACTTAAGGTGAAATTTAGAAAGCAAGAAATGAAATTCCAAAAACTGAAAAAAATTGGAAAAAATCATTTTGAAGTTGAATTTGATGATAAATCTTTGTAGTTGTGCAATTAACGACGCAGTAACTCTAATGAATTTTAGTTTGCAAAACGGCAAGCTAAATCACCTGATCAGACACCAGCAGCAAATGATGTAATAGGAGGGGAGTCACCCGCTGAACCTTCACCAAGAGCTTCTGTAAATGCTGATGCACAGCCAAAAGCAATTGATGGTTGGTTTTAAATCCAATTTTTAAGTCCACTTTTTTTCCTCTATCGCGAGCACAAGAGTTTTCCATCTTTATGCACTGCATATCAGTGAATTATGAATACACGATTAAAGATTTCTGATTTTTATCAATTATATCTAACACAAAAGCATCAAAATGCTATTCTGTTTTACTTTTAGCTAGTGCTATACCAAGTTGATTTCCTGACAAGTGGTATCTATGAAAAATAGTTAGTTTAAGCTATTGTCAGCTTAATTTAAATTTTGTGATCAAAATATTAGAGGATAAATAAAGAGCCCTCAGATATAAAATATTTCCATCTAAGTCGGAAGAAGTTATTCATGAATTTGAAAATTGATTTTCAGCAACAAAAATTTTATTAATAAATAATAACCATATCATTAATTTCAACAACCTTTTGAAAAGAGCGAGATGCTGAGCTTACAAAATTTTGAAAGCAAAAATTATGGTTTGAATAAATTTTATAATTTAATTAGCAAATCTCTTAGATCTTCAGGAGATTAAAAAATAGTGAGTATTAATAAAGAAAGATTTCGAACTCGGACTTCTGAGTCAAATATTTTTCATATCGTCTATTATTTGAGAAAAATTTGTATGACAGCGAAAATAATTTCACAGAAATTATACATTTTAGAAAGGAATGAAATCAGCAAAAATATTGGGTTTTGTAATAATTTTGAATGTATGTAATATAAATGGTTTCCTATATGAAATAAAACAGTTTTTGGTTTTACGAAGGTAATGCAATTTTATTTGATATAATTTGTAAGTTCTTTGGAGGTTCGCGAGATTATTTCGGGTTTCGCGACACTTATAACTGAAGGAACTGGATACTTTAGGATGATTTAATATCTTTGTTTGATCGCATCGGTTTATAGCATTTCTAGTTCGTTGAGCGGTAGGCTCTTGTTCATCGACACTTTGAATTGATCTGTCGAACTATTGGTGAAAATCCGAATTTTCTTTGCCTCTGATTTCCAGTGAGTGTCTGTTGAGAATTTTTCCTTGTGGTAATTCTGTTGAGACACTTCTTACTTCTCTATCTTTTTCTCTTTTATTTTCTTTATTCTTGCTAGTTTCCACATGCCGCAGGGAATTTTTGATTCGTTAACTAATACAATCTCTCCCTCATGTGGAGCTTTTCCTACTACATTTCTTGGAGAAGAAATGTAGTAGGAGGAAATCGTCCTTTCTTTAAGAATATTCAAATATTCGTCTTTTCATATTTCCCAGAAGGTATTGAAGACCTTTAATGTATCTGACCGATACTGAATGAGTTTCTCTTGAAAGTTCAATTTATGAGGGATTAACTCATCCATTCATCCTCTTTATTAGTAGGCATAATTAGAGGTGGCAGTATGAAGTCAATTGGATGCAATACTATACAATCGTCAAAATTTACGTAAGTTAGCGTCGAGTATTCAAAATAACAAATCATTTTCTTTTCCGCTAGGAATTCGTTGCTTCATAATGATTTTAAAAACCAACTGGAATTGACCAGCGTTATCGCTTAAGATTAATTCCGGATAGCCTCGTTCTGTAAATATTCTCATCGTCACTCCTAATATTGAGAGGACCTAAATAATGAAACACATCATGGTCTATTATTACGCTTCCCATAGTAATGATAAAAAAAAGTGTTGCTATTTTATGTCCATTATTGAGGAATACAGCTCGGATTTTAGCATTTTGATGATAAGATGGCCATGTCATGCAATATGGAAGCACCGTAGAATATATATCTGAACACGTGAAGTATTTGTGCTAGCAATCTCAAGCTATCTTTTAAATTGCATCTGTTAATCTAGACGATGATAGGTTTTCATGCTACGCTTTGGTGACAAGAATCGTGGGAGCATGCATCACATCTCTTGATATTGACCTAATTAACTTGTAATGACCATTAATCCATGACACTGTTAGATTGTAGATGCTAACAAATACATTGAAAATGACGAATGTTGCATACACATCAAATTTAAAAGTTTTTGGTAATATTTTGAATTGATTGTCTGACGTAAGCCATTCATTTTTTGCATTCTTGCATCGTCAATTATTGACATCGAATCATCGACCTGCAGAAAAAATGGATACAAAGATCGTTAATATTTTTTACCTTTATCCTGCTGCAGCAATTCATAACTTGCATCAAAATATTTGGCGGCGCAATTTTTTGATCAATCTTCAAAGCTATCTTCTATAGTATTGTCTAGGAAAAAAAACTTTCTTACAATATGATTTAACGTTGCAGAAAATTTTCAGTACAACTTACCCAAGCAAATATAGAAGAATCTTCAACGGTGCAAAGTATGTTCATTGATATAAACAACATGACATTTAACTTGCCTATAAATTTTCTATTTTCGTTGCTCTACTTCGTTTTTTTTTTTTTTTGTTTCGTTAGCCAATTTTCCCAGCAATCAAAATTAGATGCTGCTTAACTTTTTTCTAAAATATTAAAAGGTCTTTGGATTAATGATAAATGAAGCAAGAAACTTACCCATCATTTTTACACTACTGTTAGTATTAATGGCAATCAACCGCAATGGGAGCAATCAGTTAAAAACAGTACAATAATCCTGTCGCGGATTTTAACATCTTGAAGCACTAAATAAGTGTTAACAATGCTTAATATAGCAATCCACTGATGTCTTTTACAGTTCATCGTAATGGTTTAATTGACTTTTGAGCTATTATTATATTTTTCATTGTACGAAACGTAGCAATACTCCGATTACATCAGGAAATGTTATCGGTTTCCGATATAAAGCATCATTTAAATTTTTCATTCCTTTACAATGAGCTCATGCGTCATAAACTATCCTCAAAATTGTTGTGGTTTTATTGTGTTAATACTTTGTGATGGAGTAGATAATAAATAATGCGAACCCCGTTCATTTCCGGTGACATTTTCTCGATTATATTTGAATTGAGTCGTTCTTCAGTGGTTTGATTGTTTCGATTTAGTAATTGGGGTTCCATTGAAGCCTTCTAATTAAAGACTTCAATCTTCCAAAGCAAAGTCCGAAATTACCGCTTAATTAGTTCTTCGAGTCTTTCCAAGACAACAGACTTTATATCTTTCCTTGTTTTTAGTGATAGTTTGTTTAAACTGCTGCAATGCTTGTTCATCATTGTCGGCATTTGTTTTGTCTTGAATGCCAATTAATTCCAATTTCCGAAAGTCCGGAATATTGAAGCATTATTAGACGAGTATGGTCCATTGATATGATTTTATTGTATTGTGTGAATCTTTACATTACAAACACAAAAGTTTCCCTTTTCTGCAATCACTTGTCACATGTTCTATTTGTAAACATTCGAAACAAGCAGTTCCATCCCGAGTTTGAGCGTAGGATAAATGTTACATTCATTATTCCATGATCATTATTACAAAGTAAGTATGGTCTTCTCCTTTTTCCATCCATTGGATCTTTTTCATTTGTTGTTTCTCTTTGGTGAACTGATTGTGGTTAAAGCTGAAATTCCACCCTTAACATTATATTTGTTTGCTTTCTGCTCCCTTGTATCCGCTTGACTTCTAGCAACTTCTTCATTTCTTAGTACTAGCCTTGTCGGATATCTTTAATTGACCAACTCGTCGACTCTCCTTTCAATTGGTATAATTTATCCACGCTGATAATTTATTCTCAATTGAAATTTCGATATTTGAATGCTCTAAATTCTCACCTATAGCTTCTAGTTGTCGAAGTATTCTCTTTATGTCTTCTAAGTTGCTTGCCAATTTCTTTTGATAAAATTCAGTTCAATGTAAAATGGCTTCTTTATAATGATAGGTTTACCATGCTTCTTCATTAGTATGACATCGTAGTTTTCTGGTGTTATGTCGTAGCAATGCATTCCTTTTAAGACAAGATATGAAATAAGTTCAACTTTTGATTGACTGAGATGTTTTCTATGCCTTAATTGCTGCCTTGAAACTACACTAAAATTGCCTGCACAATTTCGGCACTAATTGTTATTAGTGGAATGATTCACTGGTATCTTCTTGATTTAAATTTTCATTTAATAATCATCACTATATATTTTAAGCGTAATGATAGTTTCTCTTGTTCTAGTAATCAAGCTTAAAATACCCTTGAGTCATCTATCATATTGGTATATTTCTCCTCCTCTTCCTTTCTTTTTGTCGCAATTGTTAATTCCTGAATGATATCCAACCATTTTTGAATGGCTGTTTTCGATCAACTCAGCATAATATTCGAGATGTGTGATCTTCTCTCTGACGAACCTCGAATTTATTTCGTGTTGTAGTTTGAATTCTAGTCGCGAAGTGTTTGATTCGAAAGGGTTAGATTGAGTTTGGTTGCTGCGATAAGGTTCTCGAATTCTTGATTTTGGTATTTCGGTTCCTTTAGTTATACTTGCCAGTTTTTTTTGTACTAACAAATTATAGTTCGCTTGCTCTCCCACTCAAATCCTTTAAATTCCCTACAAATTTATTCATTTTCTTCATCTTATTTGTAGATACAGAAATTATTATCAGTGTATTGTTAATATAGAATAATACTTGTGTATCGTGGTTGTTCGCGAATAAAATTGTTACAGTAGACCATCCATCTCAATGGACTCGTCTATACCAACTACAATAAGAAGCAAGGAAGGCTTTTGAGCATACAAAGTCTAATTCGATTCTATGCTGCAAGAGTCAGACGCTCCAAGTTTCATGAGAGCAAGCTACAATTTGGAGCACTGTCTCTCTCAGTTTTATTCATTTAAATCTTTTATTTAATTTCCCTATCAATTTACTTCTTCGTCACCTCATATTCGTAGATAGAATCTACGAAATTATTAGTATGTTATCGGTATAGATGTATATTGTGGTTGTTAGTGAATAAAATGCGTTACAGCAAATTGCTTTAAATTCAATACAACAGACTAATTCTAAAGCACAATCGAAAAAGGCCCCTTAATGAAAAGTCTATAGTTCCTCCATACTTCTTCAAAGTTCATGAGAAATACCGATATCATTTAACAATGTCTTGCAAAACTTCTAAAGCTTTACTCGTTTGGCAAATTGCTAATATAAAATTCAGTATTGGATAGATTAACGATTGAAATGAATGATAATATTTATAATTTTTAGCAACGAATCAGCATAAGTACTCATACTTCTCGTAGCGATTGAGTTGCTGGGCAAAGTGAAGGTTTGAGGATCGATTTGATGGAGTCTTGTTCATTCCTAAAACAGGGATGATTTTGCTATGTCTCAAGCAATCTCAATTTTTTCTTCTTAAAAAGCTCAAACTGTTGATTGAACTGGAGTTACCTCTTATATAAAAGATCAGTAGTAAGACAAAATGTCATTTACACTTTTTCAAATATTTAAATGCATTCTAAAAAAAAGTATACCGCGCCATACGAGCGATTTTAGTTGCTTTGATTGCATTCAGGTAGGTAGATACCGTGAGATGCAAAAATCGACAGAAATCTGTCACAAAAAGATCAAAATCCGGATTGAATTGAATTGAATTAATAAGCTCTGATTTTGAATCTGAATGTACTAAAATTCAGTACATTTCATCATGCTAATTGAAACGACAAACAATTATATCGTTCTCTTATTTAGGGAGCAGCGGTACGGTTACTTTTCTTATATTACATAATTATATAACATAAAGCACAGTAAGTAAACAAATTATATACTATGATCATCAAGAGGGTAATAAATATCTTGATGAAAGCTTAAACAAATTTTATTACCTAATAAATCACTTTCGTCGGTTATCAAATTACCATTGATAAGTTCATCTATCTGATCTAAAATTTCTTTTCCAAACGATGTCCAAGGGCCAATTTCAAACTCCATCTGCAATCTATACTTTTATTTCAAAGATATGCAAATCTTCCTCTATTGATTCAGTTTGATAGTTCACTGAATAACAACATTGGTAGGTATTTAATTTCTTCATTAGCAACATACATTCATTTTATGCAATGAAAATTTTACAGAATTTCATACGATAACTTACATTTCTTAATTTAACTATAGCACGGCCTTCTAGAACTACAACAAAACGAAATGCCGGTGTATTCATGCAATATATTGGTACCGTTTCACGTTGTTTTGCTGAATAACCTATTATTCGTGGTGAGTGCGACATATCAATCTAGAAGACATTGCAGTTCAACAGAACGCAACAACACTTTTTTTTTTACTAGATGTTAATTACATGGCTAGCATACAAAATCTTTACCTGTCTGATATTACTCTTGAGCAAATGAGACAAAACTTGTCGATCGACGTATTCATCACTGAAGATTACATGATGTTGTTGTAGAAAATGTATTGTCATCTGTTCCATATGCAATGATAATTTTTTGCCGTACTCTTCATTTGTTAAAAATTTAGTAAAACATGGTTCCTAAAATTAAGATCTATTCAACATACTTTTTCGTCTAAGTGGCATATGTCTCATTATTCATAATTTCTCACTTCTTTTGAAAAATGAAATTATTAATATTATATGCTAATTAGATGTGCTAATTTTTCAATGTGATTTTAGTGATTTCTTCTATACCGAGAAAGATATTAAAAAACAAAAGTTTACTATTCACCTTAACACGTTTCCTTTTTGATCTATACATATTATCAGTAACCGAATCACTTTCATCAATGATCTCCGCTTGCAAAATTTCCTCTACAATATCTTCTAGCGTTACAATACCAAGTAGATTCTTTGTCTGTTGACTTATTTTTCGATCATACATGCTTTGTACACTCTCAACAATAGCCAAATGGTAATTACCCTAGAAGTTTTAATTAATTTAATTAATTCTAAGCTAAATTTTCAGTGGACTTGATCTGGAAACGAAGCATAAACAATAAAAATTTTAGAAAAGTTTCAAATTGAAATAAACTTGCTGCTTTGAATTCATCAAGCATGGAATGCAGCGGTTTGCTTGCTTCAACAAATCGCAATGGATAATGATGAAATTCGCAAATTGTTTTGACTGTGAGATTGTCACGTGGATCGATCAAAGCCAAATCCTTCACCATGAGAAGAGCTTTGATATTATTCCGATCGTCATCCTGAGCTTACTTAAAAATAGAATTGCTCTATCATTAAAGTGATAGAGAATTTACTAATGTTCACAATTGTAAGGATTTATCCAAATTCTAAGAGTGAGAAATTAGAATGAGCAAAAGTGAGTTGAATGAAGCAAATGAAATATATAAAAAAGGAATAATGTATTAAGTAAAGTAAATGACTGAGACTCATTTTAATTTGTCTCTTTTATTGACTATCTCACCTAATATGATGAAGAAAAAATGATAAAGCCATATAAAGATGAACTGAAGCATTGAACTAGAAAGTAACGAAGTAGTAAAGATGAATTATAATTATGAAATGTAAAAGTGAGATAGTTAAGATTTCAAAAATAAAGGGTTTCAATTAAAAATAATACATATGTATAAAATGCTCTTTCTTGCACATCGTGACAAACGAATTTTCTTCCATGAATCGTTAAAATATCTTAACTA